TCTGTGAGTCTGAGGCCAGCCTGGTCTACACAGTGAAACCCTGTCTTAAGTCAGCAACCCTCCACACACCCACACCCAAGTCACCAAGAGCTATCCATGGTGGCACATGCTTGTCATTCCAGCACTGTTGAGGCGGGAGAGTCAGCAATTTAAGATTCAACACACACACACACACACACACACACACACACACACCAGGAAGAAAGCAAACGGCAGGGAGCCCTGGTCCCATCCTCAGTTCCAGGCATAGTGGCACATCCCAGCACCAAAGAGGGGAAGGTGGTGGCAGCAGCAGTGGGAGCTCACATGAGACCCTGTGCCCCCTTAAGTCCCCAAAATATATTTTTGTGTTTTAATCACTTGCCTGGTGTTCCTGGAGTGCTCAGACTTTGAATAACCATCTTGGTATCCTCCCTTTGTTGGAGACAGACATGTGTCAGTTACCTATGGATGTCAGTCAGCCCAGGGCTGGCTGGAGCAGGGCCTGAATCCTGTCTGTCCCTTCCTCCTTTCTGAACAGGTCCAGCCCCACACTGCAGCCCCAGAGCTGAGCTCGACATGAGGGTCATTGTGCACCACTCCATCTATTCCTGGCTCTCGATCTCAGGGCCCGCCTCTCAGAGCTTTGCTAGCTCTGTGTCCTCCTGTGGAGGAGGTTGGCTGTATCTTTGCAGGTCCTTTTATGTCCTGTCCTGCAGGCCTCCTGTACCACCCCCAGGACTAATTAAGGCATTTTCCTAAACAAGCCTGCTCAGAAAATGAATTCTGAAGCCAGCTGGTGAAATTGACTCCCTCCCCTATCTTCTGTCACACAGAGCAAGTGACTGAGGGGCGTCTGCAGCAGGCCAGTGTCCCAGGCATGATGAGGGCACAGGCTGATGACCATGCCCAACCTACAAATGTCCCCAGGGCTCAGTGGCCAAAGATAACTAAGGCTTTTTTATTTTTTTTGTTTTGTTTTGTTTGTTTTTTTTAAAGATTTATTTATTATATATGAATACACTGTAGCTGTCTTCAGACACACCAGAAGAGGGCATCAGATTCCATTACAGATGGTTGTGATGGTTGTGAGCCACCATGTGGTTGCTGGGATTTGAACTCAGGACCTCTGGAAGTGCAGTCAGTGCTCTTAACCACTGAGCCATCTCTCCAGCCCGGCTTTTTTGTTTTGTCTTTTATTTTATTATTTTTTTTTTTTGGTTTTTCGAGACAGGGTTTCTCTGAGTAGCCCTGGCTGTCCTGGAACTCACTCTGTAGACCAGGCTAGCCTCGAACTCTCGAACTCAGAAATCCGCCTGCCTCTGCCTCCCAAGTGCTGGGATTAAAGGCGTGCGCCACCACCGCCCGGCTATTATTTTTAAGTTTTGTTTTGAGACAGGGTCTTAATTAGCCCAGGCTGGCCTCAGATCTACTAAAGAGCTAAGGATAACCTTGAATTCTTGACCCTTGACTTCCTGCCTTTACCCCATGAGTGCTAGGATAACAGGCATGCTGGAGGAGCAAGCAAGTTGGCTCCTTTCCAAGCCGTGCTGCTGTGGGACTGGTCCAAGCCAGACAGCGCTGGCCACTGAGCAGAGCTGGAGTGAGGACCTCAGCTCTGGATCTGAAGAAGGCGTTTGCCAGCCTGAGTCAGGATGCAAGAAGGACCGAGGCCCTCTGTGCTGCGCTGCAGCCTCAGCCATATGTCCACCCCACAAGTGGCCAAAGGGATGTGTTCTTTCTTCCACCTTTGTTAGATAGTGTGTGTGTGAGCATTTGTGTGCATGAGCATGTGTGTATGTGAGTGTATGTGTGTTAGTGTGTGTGTGCATGAGTGTGTGTTCACATGTATGTATCTGTGTGTGTGTGTCTGTGGAGGTCAAAAGAGGACATCAGACCCCCTGAAGCTGGAGTTACAGGCTGCTGTTGGCTGCCTGGTGTGCATTCTGAGAACCACAGTTAGGTCTCCTGCAAGAGCAGCAGTCTGTACTGTTAACCACAGCTCCACCTCTGTGTGTGTGTGTGCGTGTGTGTGCCTGTTTGCACGCATGACGACTGTATGTTCACACGCACATGGAGGCCAAATGTCAATCTCCCGTGTCCTTTCTCATGTGCTGTCTACTTCGTTTTTGAAGATAGGGTCTCTCACTCAACATGGAACGCAGCCATCAGCCTACGCTGGCCTGCCAGCAAGCTCCAGGCATCCAGAGGCTGGATTAGAGGGAGGCATGCACCATCACATCTGGCTTTTCTCATGGGTTCCTGGGATTGAACTTGGATCCTCACGTTTGTGTAGCTAGTGCTCTAGCTCTTGAGCCACCTCCCCAAACTCGTCTTTGTTCCCTGATGAGGTCTGAGAGATGCATTGCAGGAACAGTGAACCTCGGACTCAGTCTAAGACGGAAGCCTGCACACACAGCTAGTCCTGGGAACTTCCAACGCTCTGAACGCTCTGAAAGATTACATCAGAATATCACAATCTCCTCTGAACCAAGGTAGCTCCAGTATTCCCAACATCCAAGACACCAGATAGGCCGTGAGGGGACCTCAGGGGGAACCTGGACTGCTCCCCACCTCGCTAGCAGAGTTACAACACCCACCTGCACTGCCCAGTGTCCCTGCTGAGGTCTACAGCTGTCCAATTACAAGTGTGTGCAAGGCTAGCCCTGAGGTAGGAGATTAAGTTCATACTGAACAGGACAGTAACTTGTCATGGAAACTCCAGAGGACACCAACAGGAAAAGACACGGGAAAACTGCGCTGACAAGGGAGGTTGACGGTGGCATGCCTGGTCACTGAAGCAGAGGAAGAAGAGTACTCGGTGAGTGTGCAACCCAGGGACCAAGCTAACTGTTCATGGATAAGTGACTTAGAAATGACTGGATCAACCAGCAAGTTGATCAAGTTGATCAAGCATGAACCGGTTACTAGATAGATGAGTTGACTGGTAAATGGGTAAACCGGGGAACGCTTGGTGAACTGGTGACTGTTTAACTAGGGATTCCTCACATGGCCTTGTCTGGTTGTGAACCTGTGGAGCCAGCCTTGCTGAGCGACAGCCCATCCTGCCTGCCCACGGACACGCACACACACCCCACGTAGCACACACACCCCCTGTAGCACACACCCCCCCTGTAGCACACAC